GAGCTGGTGTGCTAAGAACATCACGCATGCCCATCCCACCCAGGTGTGGCTTTGTCTGCCCTGGCCTTCCATCCCTCACCCCATGCAGGGCCCTGGCCTTCAGTTAGGGTGATTACTGGAACTGCCCCTCTTTAAAATACCTGCCTTCTGCTTTGAAAGTATTACCGACAGCTTTTTTATTCTCTTTTTTCTTAACCTCTTTAAGGAACCCTGTAATTTCTTTTTCTTTCTCCCCCTTTTGCTTTCTTGTCCCCTGTCCCCCTGAACTCTTTGAAATTGGCTCTCTGCCTGCTGACACCAAACTGATACTTTGCGTTTCACTTCTCCTTATCCCTTTATGGCAACAGATGTTGAAATTTTGTATCCTTTTATCTGCCCGGCTGCCCCTTCCTGTAATTACGTCCCCTTGTTAGCAGTACAAAGTGGGCTGCCTGGCTGCCTGGCCTTTGAGCCATTGTGTCTGAACACGTGTGCACTGGTGGGTGCTGGAAGGTGTTCACAGGCACACACGCATGTGAAGATGTGTGCCTCCTCCTCATACCTGATGGGGTGGGGGACAAGTAAACTTCCTGATATCATCTCCTCATCCCCATTTCTCCACTGTTAAATTTGGAATCTGGGGCCAGCAAGATGTCTTAGTGGGTAAAAGCACTTGTCGCCAAGCTTGACAACTGGAATTTGATTCCTTCCCACATAAAGGAGAACTGATTTCTGCAAGTTGTCCTCTGACTTCCATAAGCATGCTGTGGCATCTGTGACACCCCCCCCCCCAAATAAAATGTAAAAACAGTTTTTAAAAGATTGGAATGTATTCCCATGATTCTTTCACCCTAATGAGGGTCAGTCTGTAGGCACCTTGCAGGTGCAAAGGCCTGTAATGCATTAGGGGCCTGAAGGTGGCCCTGGTGTCTGCTGTCAACCATACAACTAGATAGCTATCAGGGGACTATGACTGGTGATGGTTGTGTGTGAAGGTGGGGAAGATACCACCAAGAGCATGTCCTCTGGAGTATGTGGACATGATTCTCTGGGCCTGACTTCTGCTCATCAGGTACAGCTTCTGAGCCTTGGCTTGCTCATCTGTCAAGACACCTGAGGCGTGTTAGAAGAACCACATGAGTCAACTCAGTATAGTGCCTGCCACACACATGGACTCAACCTTCTGAGCTACTACAGCAGTAGCTACTCTGCCACCAGGAAGCCTGCACAGCCACCCTACTCCTGTTATGACATTATACCAGGCTGCTTTTCCAGCTTGGCCAATGGTCATGGATTCAGTTTCTGTTTTATCTTGATATGTGACGTTAAGACATCTTGTTGTTCACTGAAAATTTAGTCATTCCCCTCAGCAAAAAATGTACCTAGTCCCTTACAGAACTTTCTTTTCTGTATATTGTTAGTTGAATACATGATTGACTTCTTTCCCTCACTGGATGTCTCCTTCATAGTTAAACTCACATCTCCTTGTAGTTTCTTTTAATATTTTGTTTTGCCTGCATATATGTATCACATGTATGCAGTGCCTGCAGAGGCCAGAAGAGGGTGTTGGATCCCCTGGGACTGGAGTCAAGCTGTTTGTCCTTTGGGGAGAAGAGATGTAAGAAAGTGAATTACTTGTCACACTTCTACCCTCTCCCCACAAAACTGTTGTATTTCAGGGTAACAAACGCCAGATGAGGTACCCTGGCACCCAAAGAGAAGCAGGAATGTGTACACGCAGGGACCCTAGGGAGCATCATCTGGCATCAGAATGTTTGAAAGTGGCTGGAAAATGGTGTGGTAGCTACGAGCATCCTTAGGTGTGACAGGGCTGGGAGAGGAGTGGAAGCAAGCCAGCAGCACCTCAGGAACACTCCAGTACAAGAGGCCTGTGGTGAGTGCTCAGGCCAGGGGAGGTCTAGACACTGGGCTAAGAATGAAACTGAACATGGCATCTAGATTCTTCAGGGTCCAGCCTTGAGAGGCAGGGGTGAGTGCCTCTGTGCCTCTAGTCTGGCACTCAAGGCCTCTCTCACATAGGCCATCCTCATAATGAGTTATTTCAATTTCTCTCCTCCTGGGCAGTGAGGCAAGATGGGCCCTGAAGGCCTAATTCTCTTTTGAGAGACCTTTCAGAGAAGGTGGCCCCACTCCGCTTGCTTTTTCCTGCCCAGGTACTAGGGGCTCCCAGAAGATGCAGAGGCTGGGCCAAGGAAACAGGTTTTCAGTGCTGCTCTTTATCCTGTTTCATTCATCAGGCTCACACTGTCGGGCGGCCCTATCTGCCTTTATCTTTCCCTGGGTCAAGAAAGAATTGCTGGAGTCAGGCTCAGGAGGCTGGGATGTGGAGGCCCCTAGCTGGCTGAAAGCTCCTGGAGGCCCAGGCTTTGTCCTTAGGAGTTGTAAGGGAAGGGACTCTTTTTTTGTCTGGCCTTCTGTAGTGACAGGCTCAGCTCCTGTCTTGGCCAGAGGCTCTGCCCTGTTCCCACACAAGTTGTGGGACAGCCAAGTCTCAGTTTACTCCCCCTTGGCCCCCCACAGTGAAAAGCTGAGCAGCATTCATAACATTCTTTCCAGAGAAAAGGGGTGAAATGTCTGAATTTTGGGGTCACCATGTTTTACAAATTGCAATCTAATCGTTTTTACAAGAACACACTTGCAGTGAGAAAAGCAGCACAGGAGGAGGGGCCGAGAGAGAGAGACCGCCGGTGTTGTCCTCCTTCCCCCAAAGTTGGGGGCTATTGTTGGACCAGTCTCTCCCTCCATCAGAGCAGTTGAGCTAGAGTTTTCTAGTTAAATTGGGCCTGGGGTGGGGGCTGTGAAGAGCCCACGGTGCCATTTCTGTTTGTTTTCTCAAATCAAAGCCCCAGCAGGACTCCTGTGGCACTGCTGGGCCACTGTTAGAAGAGACAGGCCATTTCCCAGAGCCTGGTGTGTCAGTTTACGCTCTGAACTTAACCTTGCAGTGCTGTACAACAGAGCTTTGAGAGTCCTAAGCCCGGAGGCAAAAGAAACTGTATCTTTTTATTGGCCGTTTAAAGTGTGTGTGGCCACTTGAGAGACCCAGAGAACTCAGGCTAGGGCTGGCAAATGAGGGGCTGGCATTCACTGGACCCTTGGATTTTCTCCAGAGGACAGGGGTCCCTTGTGCTGTTCTTTATCAGTGGCAGCTTGGACATTGGAAAAGGCCTAGGATTGGTAGCTCAGTCTGATGTGCCCCTTCTCACTGCTGACTCTGCCAGCCAAGTACTAGCTCTCCTTCCCCCAGAACCTCAGGAACAGGGTGGGCAGGTGGGGCCACACTGGGCTCCACCTCCACCCTGTCTTTCATCTTCTATTTCAAACAAACATGAAATTACTTCTATAGATTAAAGGGGAGAGTTCCTCAATCATTCCTTACAGCCTCACTAATGGAGTGGGCAGGACTCCCAAATCTAGGAGGGAGAATTGTGGAGTACAACAGCCCCCACCTGGTATACACAAATGCAAGTGTACCTGTGAGTCAGAGACACCTCCCTCCTTCCCATGGCTGTCATGGCTGATGGCTGGTCTGGAAAGGCAGGGCTTGTCTGGGAGCAAGGCCAGTGGTCTGCAGTGGATGCTGACCTTGGGAACAGACCATCTACCTGCTCCCTCAGAAGCCCCTAACAGATAGGCCTGTGTCTTGTCCCCCAAGGCCAGCATTAGGCCACTGAGGAAGTCAAGAATGTCCCTGGGAAGGCAGCTGGGCACAGAGGTGCCAACTTGGGGTTTAACCCTGCATCAGCAGAGCTCTATAGAGGCCTAGCAGCTCACAGTGAAAGTCCAAGCAGGCAAAATGGGGAGCCCCAGCATCTTCCTTCATTGCCTTTAGGAAATACAGTGGCTTCTTTGGGGAGGTTAAGAGTCTGAGCCTGGAGCCCAAGTCTGCACTTAGACAAATGGCTAGCAGCCCAGACTGCTTCAAGCCCTTTGCTGAGCACTGCTCAGGCCAAAGCTCTACTCCTGGAGCCCTGAAGTCCCCACTACTCTGTGTCTGGGCCTCTTACCTGAGCATCCCTGGTGGCGGGTCCATGGTGTTGTTCCTCTGCCATACCATGGAGGAGGACCTAGTATATCATTGGTAAAGGAAGCTGAGGCACTGCACCCAGAGGGCACCTTTTCTCCTTAACTCCCTCCCAGCATTCTACAGAAGCTCAATACATCCACCAGTCCCCTGGCCACAAGGATTAGCGGGTATACTTGATGTTGAGGGGCAGTTGCTAGGACCAGGAGGCCCCCCTACACGGTTGCTAGGGGTCTGGCATGGGGTGAGGGGTCTGCCCACTGCCGCGGTCACGGGAGGGAATTACAGTCACAAAGAAATTGTTCTCCATAATCTGTTCTCTGCCACCGGGTTGGGTATGGGTAGGGGAGCGGGCTGGAGCCCAGCAGGCTGGGGGCTGTGATCACAGAGGCGTGCTAGTACTGGGCTGGGCTGGGGGCCAGAGGCCGAGAACACCAGAGACCAGCACGCTAAGCTGCTTTCTCAGCTATTTCCGTCCCTGGACACAAAGGTGTTTACTTATTCTAACATCTCCTAGGTCTCCCCTTCTCCCATTGTGTGGTCTTTATTTCCAATAAGGTTTGAGCCCCAGATTACAGGCAGGAATTAAGGCACTGGACTCAGGCAGCTCAGAACTGCATGACCTATTGGATCAAGGAGTATAAAGTAACCAAGTGTGTGCATGTGAGGGGGGCTGACCCCTTCAGCAGGACTATTCATTGTCCCCAGGAGGAGTAGGCTGGCATGCAGGTATGATAGAAGGGCTGTTACATTTGCCCCATTGAGGCTTCAGCTGGGGGCTAGGATGTAGAGAAGAGTAGACACTATTGCTGTTTGGAGACCCAGTGGCTAGGTGGCTCCTCCTTCAGCCCTCTTCCTCAGGGAGCCTCCCAGTTGATGGAGAGCTATACATCCCCAAGGCCTGTTGACATCTGCAGGGTGAAAGAATGTGTATGGCCATGGTGGGCAGCCTTTCACCTTCTGCCCTTCTCCCCAGTGGGCAGCTGATCACACATCTCGGCTGTGACTTTCCCCCAGGAGCTGGGGTGCTGGATGTCATGTATGAATCCCCCTCCACACTGCTGTCTTGTGGTTATGACACCTATGTTCGCTACTGGGACCTTCGCACAAGTGCCCGGTGAGTATGCTGAATGGGGAGGACACATGGGAGACCTGTGCCAATTCAGGTCCTTTCTAGTCCTGGGTCAGTGCAAGGTACAGAGATTGCATGTCAGCAAGGTCATATCAAGCTCTGACTCTCTATCCTTGGGCAGTCCTGGTCCCTAGAGACTGATAAAGGCAGCCATTTCTCAGAGCCTCTAAGCCAGCAGAAAACTCCCTTGGCATTCTGTCTCAGGCCTTGTTGAGGTCTGTAGTCTCCCATGAGTCCTATGACAAGTAGTCTGCCAGGGGAAAACACAAGTGGCATGTTGCCTCTGAGGTCCAGGGGTTGCAAGAGTCCTTTACAGAGGAGGCCTTCTTTAATTAGTTTAGTTGTTAAGAATCTGGTTGGCAGGCTTTTTATCCCTAGCCCAATATAACTCCCTAACCCTGTCCCTATCCCTGGGGAAGTTGGGCTGGAAGTAGAGGGCACCAAACCTGTCTGCAATACTCTATCTTCCTGGACAGGAAATGTGTCATGGCATGGGAGGAGCCTCATGACAGTACCCTGTACTGCCTGCAGACAGATGGTAACCACCTGCTAGCCACAGGTTCTTCCTACTACGGGGTTGTGCGACTGTGGGACCGGCGCCAGAGGGCTTGCCTGCATGTAAGTGTCCCACCTGGATCATGCCTCTGGGATGTCAGGACTCATTATGGGCTGCATCTAAGTGTGGGTGATATGGCCAAGGACGTACTTGAGTCAGAGAATCCCATTTCCCATTTGGAAAGTGTTCATCACTACTGTACCCTCCTTTTCCAGGCCTTCCCACTGACATCAACCCCACTCAGCAGTCCTGTGTATTGCCTGCGGTTCACCACCAAGCATCTCTATGCTGCGCTGTCTTACAACCTCCACATCCTGGACTTTCAAAACCCATGATAGGATACCACTGCCTGCAGGCTGGGCAAGTCATCTACTCAGGGACCTCTCTTGCCTGGCAGGTGATACTTCACCTTTTCCTACCCCTGCTGTGGTCCTAGACCTGTGGCCACAGTGTCCAAGTACCTAAAGCACTCACTCCTGGACATTGGGGCTGACCAGAGATGTAGGCCCCAGATCCTGAAGCCTTAGGAGAATGTAGCTGAACTCAGGTGTGTACCCTGTATGGCCAGAGCAAAAGCCCTGTCTGGAAAGACCAACCCTGCCCCCAAGCCCTTTGTAGCATCATGGCAGCTTACAGAGTAGGGTAAGGTGTTCCTACCATCCCAACCAGAAAGAGAGGTGTGACTGCTAGTACCCCTGCTGGCACCAGGCACCTCTTCAGTCAGACCTCACTTGTGAACTTGGGCCTAAGAACTCATTTCTGGGGCTCTGAAACCAAGAAAGGACAAAGGAAACCTGACAGTTTGGTGTTTAGGCTAGCCATATCTCAGGTCAGCTGTAGAGACATGCTATGGTTTTCATTTTTGTAAAAATAAAGTTTGATTATTCACAAATGTGGTTCTTCAGTGGCTACATTGTTCTAGGAGGCCTCAGGAAGATGGAACATCAGATTTAAACTCAGGAGTGTATGTATATACTGGGGAAAGAACAAGACTAGCCTCTGTGGCTCTGTCTTAAAAGTGTGTTACTTCAGAAAGTCTTCCTGTTGACCATCCACTCCTTTACGGTATGGATAGGGGACTGTAGAAGGGCTCTAGGCTGCTTGGGTGCTAAGCTGCTATTATCTGTGGTAACCCTTTGCTCTGTCCCACTACCACATACCCTTGGCAACTGTAACTCTTACTGTAACTCTTTATACATAATGTCTTTACATTCTGTGAATTTTTAAACTTCCCCTTTGTCCACACCTACCTTAGGGAGTTTTTCCTGAGCCACTTTTGCAAGGCAAACCAGCACAGGGGAGTTTATGTGGGCAGGCTGGGAGAGATGTCCTGCCTTGCTCCCACCCTTTTCTCCCTTTAGCTGAAAAGCTTCTGTTGAAGGTCCCTAGGATGGAGGAGAGGCTTTTGTACGAGCACTTCCCTAGAGAGCCAGTGGGGCCCAAGAGCAGGCAGCATATAGAGATGAAAAGAGGGCAATTCTTCAGCAACTCCCAAATGACTTTACTCAGGAAACAAGATTATAGGTAGGAGCTAGTAGTGCCCTAAGGGCCAGTTCTTATGGACTCTGCTTAGCTCTGCTTAGTTCTTAGAAGAAAGCAGGCTGCCTGTGCCAGAAAGGCCCAAACTTGAAAGTCTTACAGCATCCTGCACACTGGAGGTGTAAGATTGGGGGAGCTACTGGGTCTTACAGTCCCCATCACTGCTGTGGGCTGTCTTTACCTTCTTCAGTTCCTTCTGTAGCTCTGACTCGGCCACCACGACCTCCTTTGGCTTCTGATACTGTGGAAGGACCAGGAAGACAAAAGTCAGTTACTTCTCCCTCCACACACTCACACTCTAGCTCCTCCTGGTCCTCCTTGTATATGAGGAAGCCAAAGTATACAAGGCTGAAGGATTTGCTCAGGTCATGCGGCTCTGAAAGAGCAGATCTGAGTCTTGTGATTTCCACCACTTCCCCATCATACTCTGCCCCCTCCCATCTGTGGGCTTTGATGTATGGTCCCCCCTTCCCCACCCCGGCCCCAAGATAATGAGTAGATGTCTGTTCTCCAATAAGCACACCAAAGCTGTGGAATGCCTGGAGGCTGAGAAATAGGCAGAGGAAGAAGAATCTCTTCCTGATGCCATGGCCAAGTCTAAGTCTGGGCAAATCTTACAGAGATTATCAGAGTACAGTTGGCATGAGCGAAGCTCAGAGCAGCAGCATCCAGAGGTAGCTGGTATCTGTCTAGGTCAGGAATGGAGAACTTCTTGTAGTACCTGTGGGGGATACCAAGAACATGCTGGAGAACCATCAAGGTGACCAGGCCCTTTGCTACTAAGATTCTACAGTTCTTTTCCACCTTCCACACATCCAGAGAGGAAGAAGGGAAACCCACTAGAGTGGCCTGTTTTTGAGTTTGTGATTCTGGAAATAAACAGATGGCAGTTTTATGGCCAGGCCAATGGAAAGTAAACAGAGCCAGTCATATCACTCATACACATAAAATAAAAAAAATAAAAGAATAGCCACTGATAGAGTAGAGGGTGTGCCCAGGGATTCTGGAAACAAATGGATGGCAGTTTTATGGCCAGGCCAATGGAAAGTAAACAGAGCCAGTCATAATCCTGAGATTAGCCCAGCGATCAGTGGGACTCATGGTACAGGGCTGGAACGCCCCCCAAAATGAGAAACATGAACAAGGAAGAGTAAGGGTATCTAGGGCTATTTCATCAAAGCTGAACCTAGAGTTGCCACTACCTGAGACTCACTGAAAGCTTCAGCCACTTTAGCTTTTTTATTTTTTTTTTGGGGGGGGGGTCTGTCAAGGTTTCATTAAGATTACTCAAGGGGCTGGAGAGATGGTTTAGTGGTTAAGAGCACTGTTTGTTCTTGCAGAAGACCCAGGTTCGAATCCCAGCACCAACGTGGTGGCTAACAACCATCCATAACTCCAGTTCCAGGGGATCCAATGCCCTCTTCTGACCTCCATGGGCACTGTAGGACATGGTGCACTTACACACATGCAGGCAATACACTCATACACCTAAAATAAAAATAAATAAAAAGAAGGCTTACTCAAGCCAGACAGAACAGTATACTCACAAGGACCCATATCCCTAGCAGGACAAACCACAGGACTAATCATGAAACCTGGATCTCAGGTTCTGAACCCCCTTCCCTGGTCTCAGAACCCCACTCCTCCTCTCACATAGCACACTTAGTCCCCATCATCTACAGGTGCCAGGTGACCTCTTTTAGTAAAAACAAAACCAACCAGATAACACCCTAAACTTGTCACATAGACATGGACTTTTCAGATTCTGACCCTTTGCCACGGAGGTATGTGGTTCAGATGGAGGAAACGTGCTGCCTGCTTTCCTGGTCAGTTGTCAGTGAGGTAAGAGCCCGGGTTAGAGGGCATTTCCTCACTCTTGATCCTCACCGGACACTTATTTGACCAGGTCCCAAAGAAATAAAGGCTCTTCCTCTCAAACACAGCCTCATTTGTCAATTTCCTTAGTGGAAGTATGGCCTAGGAGCTGCCAGACCCATCACCTGGTCAAGATATCACTTTCTGTGGAGAGGCAGAAGTTGTGTGGGCTCTGAAGGGAAATGCCTCAGGCTGGTACAAACAAACTCAAGAGAGAGGCCTAGAGAGGACCAGCTTTTAATACTTCAGAGGGGCCTGGTCCTTGTGGTGACAGCTACGCTGAGTCCACTTCAAAAGCCCTGATGCCCTGGGGACTCAAGAGAGTTGACATCAATGCAGGGGCTTCTGCCCCTATCCTCCCTGCTCAAATCCCTCTGTTCAGCAGAGGCTCTGGGGCCCCTCTCTTCCCAGGTTCCCCTCTCCCCACCAAGGTGCTGGGACCTATGTCAGGAAAAGAATGTTTATTTAAAGGCTGACAGTTCAAAAGAAGTGGGGGCTGGGAGACCCTAATGGCACTGCAAGTTGCTTTCTTTCCAAAGCTCTGCCCCAGGGAAAGGCGACCCATCTGCCTGCAACCAGGTGGAATGCCTGCTGCATCTTCCTAGCCAACAGGCTGAGGGCTTTTCCTGGGGCCCTGGTCTGGCCAGCAAAGGTGGCAGACACTGATAATAGCGGGGGAGTCAAAGGTTAAACAGTAGAGATTACGCAAACACAAAGGCTTGTTAGGAAGTGTTAACATCTTCCTAGCAAATATACACAAAAAGCAGAACCAGGAGAGAAGCACCACCCACACCTACTCTAGGCCGGGCCAATGGACAAGAATCTCAGGGCTTGTCCTGCCCCATCCCTCACCCCCACATCCCAGGCCTGTATCAGGATCACAGGGAACTTGAGGTGTATGGCTTACCCGCCTTCCCTACCCTACTCCTGCCACCAGCCTAGGGAATGGGACGCAGCCACAGCCAGGGAAAACACAGGCTTAAGAGGCTTAGCTTTGTTTTGAGTCTATTGTGATGGATTTTGTTTATTGGGTGAGGTTAAATAACTTCTCTTTAGAGACTCCAGACACCCAGCACTCTAAGGAGTAAAAACTCTGCTTTCTCCCCACTGTGCAGCCATCCCCTACTCATCTCTATCCCTCACCCCAGCCTTGGGGTTTGCCATGACAAGAACTGAACTTGAATTTTTCACCAGTACTTGGATAAGAAGAACCCACTGTATTTCTGGAAAAGTCAGAAAGCTTAGCTTCAGGCAGCTCTAAGCAGGCAGCAAATATTTACCAGGCATTATCAACTGTGTCCTAGGACTTGAACTGTGAACTGATAATTTAAAGATGAAAAAGAAACAAGGCCATACCCATAGCCCTGTCTAAATAGACCCTGTTATGCTTCTGCTAAAAGTTAAATCTCACATCTTCCTGGCTTCCAGAAGATGCCCAATACCCTCATCCCCACCTCCCTTCATGGTTCTCAGTAGTAGCTAAACAGGAGAGATACCTCTCTCTCTCTCCCCCTTCCCTTTCCCTCTCCTCCTTTCTTCCTTCCATTTCCTCCTTTTCCCCTCAAGCTGGAGACTGAATCCAGTGCTTTGCAAATGCTAAGTACATGTCATATTCCCAGACTTAAAATGGTATTTCTCCCCGCACCCCCATCTCTCTAAGTAGTCCAGGCTAGCCTTGAACTCATGATTCTCCTCACATTTCTTCCTTCTCCCCCCCCCTTCCTTTCTTTTTGGTTCTGGGGATCAAACCCAGGGTCTCATACATGCCAGGCAAGTGCTCAATCATCCAGCTACTCCCTGCCTCCTCTTGTCCGCTTGACATTTCTTTCTTAATGTTTATTGTGCGCAGAACACTTCTAAACACATTTAACCCTCAAAACAGCTCTTTCTAGTTGGTTACTTCTCTCTTACAGAAGAGAAAACACAGGAGAGTTAGGTGTGATGCCTGGGTTGCAGCTTTGTACACAGAGAAGCCCTTATTGGAAGTGAGTCCCCAATTTAACCTGTCCACCTCCACATTCTCACCTTGAGGTAGCAGATCACCTGGTCTAGAATCCCTGCATCTGCCTGGAATGGGGCAGACATTGCAGGGAGGGTTCAGTAATAAGTTGTCTGCCCTGGGTTCCCACTACCCTTTTGAAGTGGACTCAGCGTAGCTGTCACCACAAGGACCAGGCCCCTCTGAAGTATTAAAAGCTGGTCCTCTCTAGGCCTCTCTCTTGAGTTTATTTGTACCAGCCTGAGGCATTTCCCTTCAGAGCCCACACAACTTCTGCCTCTCCACAGAAAGTGATATCTTGACCAGGTGATGGGTCTGGCAGCTCCTAGGCCATACTTCCACTAAGGAAATTGACAAATGAGGCTGTGTTTGAGAGGAAGAGCCTTTATTTCTTTGGGACCTGGTCAAATAAGTGTCCGGTGAGGATCAAGAGTGAGGAAATGCCCTCTAACCCGGGCTCTTACCTCACTGACAACTGACCAGGAAAGCAGGCAGCACGTTTCCTCCATCTGAACCACATACCTCCGTGGCAAAGGGTCAGAATCTGAAAAGTCCATGTCTATGTGACAAGTTTAGGGTGTTATCTGGTTGGTTTTGTTTTTACTAAAAGAGGTCACCTGGCACCTGTAGATGATGGGGACTAAGTGTGCTATGTGAGAGGAGGAGTGGGGTTCTGAGACCAGGGAAGGGGGTTCAGAACCTGAGATCCAGGTTTCATGATTAGTCCTGTGGTTTGTCCTGCTAGGGATATGGGTCCTTGTGAGTATACTGTTCTGTCTGGCTTGAGTAAGCCTTCTTTTTATTTATTTTTATTTTAGGTGTATGAGTGTATTGCCTGCATGTGTGTAAGTGCACCATGTCCTACAGTGCCCATGGAGGTCAGAAGAGGGCATTGGATCCCCTGGAACTGGAGTTATGGATGGTTGTTAGCCACCACGTTGGTGCTGGGATTCGAACCTGGGTCTTCTGCAAGAACAAACAGTGCTCTTAACCACTAAACCATCTCTCCAGCCCCTTGAGTAATCTTAATGAAACCTTGACAGACCCCCCCCCAAAAAAAAAATAAAAAAGCTAAAGTGGCTGAAGCTTTCAGTGAGTCTCAGGTAGTGGCAACTCTAGGTTCAGCTTTGATGAAATAGCCCTAGATACCCTTACTCTTCCTTGTTCATGTTTCTCATTTTGGGGGGCGTTCCAGCCCTGTACCATGAGTCCCACTGATCGCTGGGCTAATCTCAGGATTATGACTGGCTCTGTTTACTTTCCATTGGCCTGGCCATAAAACTGCCATCCATTTGTTTCCAGAATCCCTGGGCACACCCTCTACTCTATCAGTGGCTATTCTTTTATTTTTTTTATTTTATGTGTATGAGTGTATTGTCTGCATGTGTGTAAGTGCACCCATGTTGTGCATTGCCCACGGAGGTCAGAAGAGGGCATCAGATCCCCTGGAACTGGAATTACAGTCCTGTAACAGGACTTCTGGCTTGGCCCTGCTGTGGGCAGGCTGCTTAATTTCTGGGTTTCAGTTTCTTCTTAAATACTTCTTCAAATCAAAGAGCTGTACTAGAAGAACTTTAAGCCACAATGTTAAGTCAAAAGGCCCAGAACAGGCCAACTCTAAACCTCTTTCCCCCCATACCAGATAACTACTTCATTTTAGCTACTGGCTACTAGCTTTTGGAAATAACCTTCTACTTCCTAGCTCACTCTACTGATCCCTCACCCCATTCTCCCTTGCATTGAAGGGAAAAGGGTACAGAGCAGGCCCTCAACAAGAGAACCCCTAGAGGAAGGCTAAAGCAGGAGCAGGGCTGCTGTGGACAGGCCCTGCCCCATACTCCCCTAGCCTGCATACCACTATCCCTACTCCAAGCTGCTCTTATTAGAGCCAAAGTCTCACCAAAGGGAATCTTATTGAATCTTACCTGGTTACCTGACCAGAGTCCTGTCTTCTAGTGATGCCTATTAACACCTCCCATGTGATGGTATCATCAACGTCTAATTAGCCAGGCACTCTTTAGATTCCCTGCTTTGGCATCACATAGGATGCTTGTATGAATCTGCTGTCAAATTCCCCAAATAATCTATGAGGTACTCTAAGCCTACTTTTCTCAAAAATGAGAACTTGGTCAAAATACTACATTTAACATGTGGCAGAGGAGCTATTTAAGCCAACATCTTTCCACTCTTGCACACATGCCATCATTCCACTTATAGCTCAGCCTCCGGGCTGAGACAAGGAACCTCTTCTACACAAACATTCTTATCAGGACCAGATGGTGCCACACCAGGATCCTGAAGAAGCAGTTTCTTCCTTCTCTCACTCATCTTTCACTAATATCTGAAGCCAAGGGCTATCATAAGACACAAATAATTCCTTTGAGCAAAGTGGCCAACTGAGTTCTTCAGGGACCAGGCAGATATGGACAAAGACACTCTGTGTGCTTTAGGTCAGGAATCATATTCTAGAATATTAAAACTAAGGTACACATGGAATATTCAGGTGAAGAAAAGCTGAAGAAAATGCCATCATGTGGGACACGGTGTGGGGGGCACTACAGGTGCCACAGTGTGGGACACAGTGTGGGGCACTGCGGGTACCATGGTGTGGGGCACTGCAGGTACCATGGTATGGGACATGTGGGGCACTACGGGTGCCGCGGTGTGGGACACGGTGTGGGGCACTGCGGGTGCCGCGGTGTGGGACACGGGTGTGGGGCACTGTGGGTGCCGTGGTGTGGGACACGGTGTGGGGCACTGCGGATGCCGCGGTGTGGGACACGGTGTGGGGCACTACAGGTACCTGAGCACTAAGCAAGATGCCACAGTATTCCCTTCTATACAGGTCATTTTATGCTGACTTTCCATATGTATTTATACAACCACTAATATATAAATAAGAATAAATATGTTTTGTGTCTACCTCTTGATGAAGTGATGATCAGGAAACAGATGTTAAAAGTATTTAGAAAAAGTTAAACTTACTCAGAGAAAATGTTGTGTTTGTTAATGGTGGAAGTACAGGTATAGAATGTATTTCTCCAGGTAGAAGGTGAAAATTCCATTAGACTCAGGAAAGGGCTGTTTCAGTTTGGTGGCCTCTAGCCTACCTCCTAACAGAGGGACCTGCAGGGGGCAGAGCTGAGCCAGGCCGGGACGCTGGAAGAGAAAGGAGCTCAGTTCCAAAGTGGGCACCAAAATATTACTCTCCTCTCTGTGGGAAGCCCTCCTCCTAGGGTATCACCCCCATCCCATATTGCCTCCCCCAGCATTTCAAAAATTACCCCAACCCCTGCCCTTGGGCACTGGAATAGACCACTATACACTGAGCACCTTGGCCAGCAGCGCCACCTATGGCATATGCTTCATACTGGAGGAGATGGTACCCAGAGGATCTGCTCACAGATGAATTTTTTGGTGAGCTAGCTAGCCTCTCTTCTCTCACTCCCTTGTAATCACATTTCTGCCTGTTATCTGTATTCGACAGTGACCTCTGGGGGACAAAAAGAAGGCAGCAGCCAGCTCTACAAAGTGCTAAGCTGCAGATTCAAGTGCTATCAGAAGCACTTTTGTTCCCAGTTTGGACCCAGGGCCTCTTACGCCAGGGAATGCTTGCTGAAGCACAGTTTGTTTTCCTACAGGCAATTTCTCTGTTGTCTGAAATTGCTAAATTCCACTTTAGGCACTGAGTCCTGTTAATGATGAGAACAATAACGGGAATAAACTGCCTTTATCTGAGGGCTTCAATGTGCTTTATAAACGCAAACCCTTATTATTATGACTTTATATTTATAGACAAGGTCCACTACAGGGGCTGCCGACTGCATGTACAGCAATAATCCTGAAATTAATTCATTCATCTCTACCCTTTCCCTTGTCCCCTTAACCCTGCCAAAATGATAGGGTGTAGAGGTCATAAGAGGAGGGCAGAACCCAGGGCTGCATTGGGGGAGGCTGGGAGCTACCCTGCTTCCCTGTGGGCAGGCCTCATGGACCTGAGGGAGACTTGATCTCACCATCTTAAAGGAAGGATGAGGGACTGGGAGGGTCCTTCTCACTACATGAAAAGCAGCAGACGGACGGAGGCACCTCAGGTTAGACTTTACACCCCAAGAAGCAAGTTAGGCAATTTCTCAGCCTGTGGATGAGTAGCTGAGAAAAACCTCCCAATTCAGCCAGGCATGGTGGAGCATACCTTTAATTCCAGCACTTGGGAGACAGAGGCAGGTAGATCTCTGTGAGACTGAAGCAGCCTGGTCTACATAGAGTTCCAAGCCAGCTGGGGCTACAGGGAGACCCTATCTCAAAACAAAACTCTCTCTCTCTCATATATACACACACACACGCACACACACACAAATTCTTACTCAAAACTCCAGTCTAGAGTTAGTCGTTGGTCCCATACCATAATTTCTCTGGCCTAGATTGTAACATTTCTGGGCTCTTCTCTTCGCCTGTGATGGGTCAGAGTACTAGAACTCCAAATCCTGGACATGTAACTCGACCACCTTCTCAGTCCCCAGTTTGCCTTCCCCAGTAGATCACAAAGGCAAGTCAAAACAGAATGCTAGAGATTTAAGGGCCAAGACATCTGCCTACTCTTCCTTAGTCCAGAGAAAGACAAGGGTTACTGCTACACAGGGCTGGTATTTTAAAGTCCTGAACTGCCACTCAGGTATATGTGCCTTCTGAGCCATTGCTCCCTGCTAATTCAGTGATGTCATCAAGCCAAGTTCAGCAGGTCTGGGTCCTAAGACCCTCAGAGCAGAACTACCAGAGATCACACATTGGACATGCCATTCCTTCACCCGTCATTCATTCGACAAATAGCATATGCCAGGTACCAAACTAGACATTGGTTCAAGTTCCCCTACCTTAATGGAGCTGTTGCAGAAAGGAATCTCATCCACTCTCAACACCAAGTTTAAGTTCAGCCTGCCTTCCAAGTAAAAAGCAGTCTAGGACCTTACTCCACTCTATCCCGGCTCATACACAGCAGACTGGTGCCCACCAAGCTACTCACTTTTTGTTAATCGTTCTGACAGTGATGCAGCGCTCCTTCTGGTCCACAGAGACGTTATAGACATCCTTTGGGTAGGGGAGGTTTCGTATTCGCCACTGAAAACTAGTTTTGGTGTCCTTGCGCATGAAGATAGGCTGTAAAAAGCAAATCCATTTTTGGCAATGGGGTTTGCTGTTATTGGTGGTGGTGTGTGTCCCATGCAGCCCAAGTTGGCCTTGGATTCACTATATAGTAGAATGACCTTATAATTCTCCTGCCTCCATCTCCCAGATTGCTGGGATTACAGGCATGTGCCATCAATACCTGGTTCATCAAGGATCATTCTGGAGAAAAATCCCAAAGCTCCACCCAGGGCCAGACAGGAAGCCCTCTGTTCTTCTCCATGGCTTCTCTCAGGGCCTATTGCTTTCACATACCAGGTTTCAAGGACTTGCCCTGGGATGGCAAAGCCAAACCTTTTGGCCATTTATGCACAGTGTGGCGAGGTGGGCATACTGCATGTAAGGTGAACAAATCATGGTCCCTGCCCACAGGGATCAGAAGTCTCCTCCAAGTCCCTACAAGACACTGGACAAATAAACATACATTTGCATTACTTTCCTTGATGAGCTCGGGCCCCAGGCTCCCTGGTCCTGTGAAGGCTGGCTCTCCTACTTCAAGCTTCCACTGGCCCAAAGCTCCCAGGGCATTTTTCACACGCCACTTTCTCACTGGGAAAAGAAGCAAGCAATGGGATTATAGGGAAGAAAAGGCCTCTGCTTTTTCCTGCTGAATGTGACATGACAGTGAGTAACTGAGACATGACGAAGTACAGGCTTTGGTCTTGACACTGGGCTTTGTTCATCTGAGCAGGGAATCTCATAACCTAGGAAATCACACTGGGGCATCTCAGTTATCAGACAGCCACAAAGTCCATTTCAAGGGTACACAGACATCAGGAAATGGAATGAGGCTTTGAGAGGATCCTGTAGAGTAAAAAAGGCCTCAGGTGTGACACCAAGCAGGAAAAAACAGGGCCAAGGAAGGTGATTTTTGGTAATGGGAAATTTGGAGCCCCAAAAGAAGTTTATTTGTATTTTTGTTGTTTTATTTTGTTTTTTGTTTTCTGAGACAGGGTCTTGCTATATGTAGCCCTGGCTGATCTCAAACCACACCTTCTGTCTTGGCCTCAAGTGTTGGCATTATAGGAATGTGCCACCACGCTGACTTTTGGATACATTTTTCTCCCTCTAAAAAACTATGCAAAAGGGGCTGGAGAGATGGCTCAGTGGTTAAGAACACTGGTTGTTCTTGCAGAAGACCTGGGTTCAAATCCCAGCATCCACATGGCAGCTAACAACTGGCCGTAACTCCAGTTCCAGGGGATCCAACAGCCTCTCCTGTCCTCCATGGGCATTGCATGACATGGGTGCACTTACCTACACGCAGGTAATAAACGCATACACATAAAATAAAAATAATAAATTAAAAAAAAAACTATGCAAAGAAGAAATGAATTGAGTGAAAGCTGTTGGCCAGGTTTGTCTCATGACTCACAAAAGTCCAAATACAAAAATTTGTTTTAGGTATACCTGTTTTAAAACAGCAAAATAAGCAAGCAAGCAACCCCACAACCTCAAAGTTGTATTTAAATAAAATCTAGAAGCCAGGGCATGGCTCACAGCTTTAATCCCAGCACTCCGGAGGCAGAGAGGTAGGTGGATCTCTGAGATCAAGGCCAGCCTGGTCTATATATTGGGTTCTAAGCCAGCTGGGGCTATAGGGAGACCTATCTCAAAAAACAAAAGACAGCCAGGTATGGTGGTCTTTGATCCCAGCATTCAGGAGGCAAAGACAGTTGGATCTCTGTGAGTTCAAGGCCAGCCTGGTCTACATAGTGAGTTCCAGGCCAGCTAAGGCTATAGGGAGACCCTGTCTCAAAAAAGACCAAAAAAACCAAAAACAAAAACAAAACAAAAGGAAGGAAGGAAGCAAGAGCAACTGGGCTGGAGTATAGCTCAGTGGAAGAGTTTTTGCAAGTGCTGTAGTAGTGTAACAAATAAAAGTCTTAGACATACGCTATTTTAAATGAACTATTTATAAATCTAATATCACTTTTTTGTAAAATGGATTTTTATATTTGTAACTTTATAATGCAAATAGCCATCTTTGTTTTTCCTTGTTTTATGCTCAGATCTTTGTATAGGTTTTTTTGTTTTGGGGTGGTTTTTGTTTTGTGTTCTGATTTCGGTTTGCTTTGTTTCCTAAGAGAGTATCTTACTCTGTAGTTCCCAGGCTGGTCTGGAACTCACTATATAGCCCAGGCTAGCATTGATTTCGGGGTGATCCTTGTGGCTCAGCATCATGAGGTGCTGGGATCATAGGGCTGAGCCACAATGCCTAGTTCTTATCTTTTTTAAAGTAAGGCACATATATTATGGAAATTATAAATCCAGAAATGAATTCAGTGGACATTACTGGGAAAGTCTCTGCTAGGATTTCCATGAGCCCCATTCAGTCCTGTGCTAGTGTTTGCTGTCATGCAGTCCACCAGTGTAGGGGAGACGTTTTTTGCTGAGGTCCCCCTCCATGCCTTCCCTTCCTTCTGTAGTGGAAGCCTGGGGCTGCCACCTTGGGCCATCCTCTAGCCAGAGCAGCATAGTTGATGCTGGAGACTAGCAGCCCTCTGCAGACACTACAAAGAACTGAACAACTCTGAAAGTGCCTGGTGGGCTACGGTAGCTGTTGCCAGGGGTGGCTCTCTGTTTTCCAGTTGGCGTGGAAAAGCAGCAGTTCCAGGCCTGACCCTCAGTATCAGGCCAGTGGGCTTCTGAGCAGTTGTGCCAACTCTGTGCATACTCACTACTGTGAGTACACCAGCTAAACACAAAAACATGCTGTAAAATTAGAATTTTTCTTGAATATGTGCTTTTTGTAAGGTCTGCTGCATTCTGCAGTGTGATTTTATTACATCTTAGAGCCAGAAATTCTCCCTAGAAACACTTTTGTGAATTTATAATGAAAATTAATAAGGAATAGTAAAACTTGGAAATATGCTTTACAGACAACTTCTTACCCCCACAAATACTTTCTTAGGTGAATGGACTGTGACCAGGAGTATATTCAAAGCTATTCACTGTACTATCTCACTTAACTGGAAGCCAGCCTCTGAGGCCTCTGTCACAGCTGTAAATTCACAAGTGACAAATACCTCCCAGCAGCAGCTTATGTGACAAGATGTATACAGCCGGCACCCTGAGACAAGAAGATCACTCCTGGACCCTCCTCAAACTATATATATATAAAGCTACATGTAGGCTGGGGGCACAGCTTAGTGGTAGAGCCTGTGTCTAGCATGTTCAAGTCCTGAACACCAGGAAGATCCCCACCCCCCCAAAAAAGAAGAGAACCTTAAAAAACACAAAAGCTGCAGTAGCAACTATGTATAAAAAAAATAAGGCAGGAAATTACTTTTTCCCCAGGCATGCTGACAACAGTATCAGGGGACAGCTCACATGGCAGGGCAGAACTACATAAGCACTGGAGACTACTTAGTGTGAGGGTAAAAAAGCACCCCAGCCCCCATGGCATTGCTGCATGACAGAACACAATCATCACAGATCTTAGAGGGAAAGTTCCATTAGGAAGCATCCTGTCCAGTGCCTAAATATTTTATGTGAGAAATAGCATTTCTTCCCTGTCTGCTTGTTTTCAACCCTTCCCTTTACTTTTTAGGGGACAGATATGAAGAATTATTGAGGAACAGTGAGATCAATCTGTAAAAGCCACGGTTAAAATTTAGGTCTCCTATTGGCCATGATGGTATATACTTGGAAGGCAGAGGCTGGAGGGTGGAGAACTGGGGCTACCCTAGGCTGCATAACAAGACCCTGCCTCAAAACAAAACAAGCAAAATGAATTCGTATTTTATAACCCCATATCCAGAACTTAATCATCAATAAAAAAGTAAACTATAGTCTGTGAGTGTTCTAAGCATATTCAGAAAGGTTTCTTTTTGTAGCTCTATTTCTTTTGTTATATACTTTAGCCTTTAAAGGCCAGGCTTTGGAGGCCAGACATGGTAGCACACATATTTAATCCCAGTACTTGGGAGGCAGAGGCAGGTGGATCTCTTGTGAGATTGAGGTGATCCTGGTCTAGAGAGTTCAAGGCCAACCAGTGCTACAGTGTGAGACCCTGTCACAACACAACACATAATACAACACAACACAAAACAAACCAGGGCTGGAGAGGTGGCTTAGTGCTTAAGAACACTGACTGCTCTTCCAGAGGATCTGGGTTTGGTTCCCAGCACCCACAAGGCAGCTAACAATGGTTCTTAATTCCAGTTCCAGTTCCATAGGATCTGATGCCCTCTTCTGGCCTCCATGGGCACTGTACATGCATGGTACACTTACATATATGCAGGTAAAACATTCATAAAAGTCTTAAAAAGGGGGTGGGGAGCTGGAGAGATGGCTCAGTGGTTAAGAGCACTGGCTGCTCTTGCAGAGGACCTGGGTTCAGTTCTTAGCACCCATATGGCAGCTAACAACTGACAACTCTCCCAATTCCAATTCCAGGGGATCTGACACCTCTTCCGAATTCTGCGGGTATTGAACGACATGGGTACACTTACATACGGACAAGCAATACACTCATACACATTAAAAAAAATTAAATAAATAAATTTTTAGAAAGGGCCAGGGGCTTTGGTTATTTGAAAGGGTAATACAATGAATTACTCGCTAGTTAGGCTGGAGAAGCAAGATGTCCCTGTAATCATAGGCTCGGATTGGTTAGACTGACTATTCTAGTGATATTATTAATGTGGTCCCCAATGGCAATAACCATTGTAGGATTTCCCTCTATTCTTCTACTTCAGGGAATGCTGGATCTTCCACAGAAATCTTCCCTAGAAAGAAAAGTCACTGCTGGCATGCTCACTTCTCACCTTAACCGCCATTCAGGGTCATGGAAGCTTGGTATCCTTGACTGTCTCAAGACATCTTGGGGAATTAGATTTTTTTAAAAAAACATTATTTTTATTTTATGTGTATGAGTATATTGCCTGCATGTATGTAAGTGCACCAGTGCATGCAATGCCTGCAGATCTCAAAAGAGGGCATCAAATCCCCTGGGATTGGAGTTATGGATTGTTGTTAGCCACCATGTAGGTTCTGGGAATTGAACCTGGGTCCTCCGCAAAAGCAATCAGTGCTCTTAACTGCTGAGCCATCACTCCAGCCCCAGGAATTAAGTCTTTGTTAGGGTGCACATATACAAAATCAGTCTTGGCTTTCTTGTCTCCTCTTTGTTCCTGTACTCAAGGACAGCTCCTGCGGCAACAGAAGACTGTTTCCACCTGCTGTCACTCTGATTTGATTATATGTTAAACCCAAAGTGGTGTGTGCGAGGCAGCTCCCTGGGACGCTGTTATTGCTTCCCAAATGAGCTAGGGCCGGTTTTTAGAAAGGAGACTTCCAATGACCCTGTAAAGGGTCTGACAGGGAATATATGAAGAAGGCGGAGCCTGAGGGCTTTTTCCTAAGTCAGCAGGAAGCAGGCTGATGTCCCAGACTGCCGAAAGTGGCCCCATCTTTCAGGTGGGCTGGAAAGAAGAGGTCCTAAAGGCCTCTTTCCCCAAAGCTCCATGGCCTGGCCCACTTCCAATATGGATAATTACATTCCCCTTTCCTAAATACTCCCTGCAGCTTAAACTGGATGCAGGATTCTTCTTTTCTGCCCTAAAACACTGCAACATTGCTATGTGGCTATTAAACAGCTGCCGTGGCCCATCCCTGAGGAGGCTGAAGGGAATCGAGTGGGTCATTTATAAAGCCGCTGAAGTGCCTGGGGATGAAAGTGCTCAATATCCTCCAAATGCGGCCTGTGGTGGTTAGGCTGGCGGTCAAATACCAAAGCAGATTAAGAGGTAATCCGAATGTAATCGCTGGGGGCTGGCCTGCCCTTCAGCCTCAGCCCCCTGGACATGCTGTGTTCTTCTGGGGTTGGTTTGATGTTCCGATCATTGTTACATGGCCCTTCAGCTTCTTCCTCTATGAATACATACAGAATTCATTGTGGGGGGTGGGAATGAATAGCCCCGAGAGGGTAGAAAAAAGATGACACTAACATGCTTATTAACACTGACTGGAGGAACTTTGTCCCAGACAGATGCACACCTACTGGCAATGCTTCCTCTGTAAATTACTTTCTGAGCTTTTTTTCTAACAGAAAACCTGTTTGACCAATTATCAAATTTGTATAATTGGCTGGAAAAAAATGGAAACCATTTATACATATACCACAGAAACCATGCCCATATTTTACTTCATAGCACAAGCAAAAGCTAGCTCCAGACTTTTATTTAGATTTATAAACCAATAGCCAGGCATGGTGGGGCATGTACCTGTAGCTCCAGCTACTTGAGAAACTAGGGCCAGAAGACCACTTGAACCCAAGAGTTTGAGACCAGCCTGGGGAATGTATGGAAAGCCTCTCTCAAAAACAAGCAAAAAATTAATATGGACAGTATTTTGTAAGGGCAGCTAGATGGGGGTGGGGGTGGGGTGGGGGAGGGGATAAAGTGGACCAGGCCAGGCATGGCCACACACACTTGAAACCTCAGCACTTGGTTCAGGTAAGAAGACTGCCATGAGTTCAAAGCCAGTCTGGGATACATAGTGAATTCCAGGCCAGCCTGGGCTACATAGGAAAACCCTGTTTTGAAAAAGAAAAACAAAGCCGGGAGTGGTGGCACACGCCTGTTGTCCCAGCACTTGGGAGGCAGAGGCAGGTAGATCTCTGTGAGTTCAAGGCCAGCCTGGTCTACATAGTGAGTTCCAGGACAGCTGGGGCTACAGGGAGACCCTGTCTCAAAAAGACCGAAAAACAACAACAACAACAAAAAAAAAAAAGAAAAACAAAAATAAAATGAGCAGGGCCTAAACCTCTCAACTCCCAGCACCATGCTGCTATACTCACTTCCTAGACAAAGCTAAGCTAATGTCCTGGCTCATACACCAACCAGCTTTGTCATTTTCAACATGGTGGGTAACTTCTCTGAGTTTGCATCTTTACCTGTAACATGGGAACAATAGTGCTTATGTCATGGGGCCTTCATGAACATGATTATATGAGATAATGCATGTAAAGTCCTTGGCATGATGCCCTGCCAGTTAGTATTTTTCTTTTGAGACAGGTTCTCCCTGTAACCCTAGCTGGCCTGGAGCTTGCTATGTAGACTAGGCTGGCTTCACTCTCACAGAGATCTGCCTGCCTCTACCTCCTGAGTGCTGGGGCTAAAGGTGTGCACCACCAAGCCATGGTCTCTCCCTACCCGGCACCAGAAGTGGAAGGTTAATGTGGGACAGTGGAGCACAGAGCCCTACAGGTAAAGGAACCTGGACTTGTTCTTAATTGTAATTTCATGTACAAGCATAACAAAGGGGCCTTGGTCTTATTTGTTTGTTTGTTTTTATGGCCTCGGCAGCTCTAGTTGCTGTAGTTGCTCTACATGGAGAAAAAAGTGACACCAGGGGCTAGGGCAAGGAGCTGCATCTGGAGTGTCAGGGTTATGGTGCTGGTTAGTCCACGTGACCTCTGCTTTCATAAGTTCCCCCCAGTTAGGCATTCCAAGGCTATCACCCCCTGGGAGCACTATAAATTACAATGCATTGTGAGGATATTACTACTGTATTGGTTTCCACTGAATCAGTGTCATATGCTAAACACATCAAGATTTTTAATAGCACCAGACTAAACCAATTGGGACTGGAGCCCAAGCAGCTCATAATAAGAAGGGATCGACACTTTGCTCTGCAACTGAACATGCGCAGCACACACATTTTAAGACTGGAGACTAGGAGAATGCAAACCAGTATAATCCATGTTGTCGGTTCTAGACATTTATGAGCTGTCAGAAAAGGGGAAAAAGAAATTCCCATACCAATACTACCTGTCGATCAGACCCAGGAAGAAATTAAAGTCAAGAATAATGACAAGAAAATAACCCAGCCTGTGAGTCTGTCATTGGTCTTAGCATTTCAGGTAGAACTTAATAAAAAGACCAGCTCCCAGGGTAGACAGCTTTAGGCCCTGGGTCACAGAGCCATTCACCCAGCTCTGGGAAGTCAGTTAATGTTGATGTGCATACCTGGGAACAGAGAACGAGCAAATCAATAATCCCTGAAATCCGAGCTGGAACTCCTATTCATGAACCTAGTCTTAGAGGAAAAAACCTGCAGGAACGAAAACAACAATGCTGCAAAATCACCTTCCTACCTTCTCCAGCTCGCTCTTCAGGATAAGGGTAGTATTTAATAGTATCACCTTGGAGGCAAGGTCAGAAACTGCCACCTCTGAGGCTTGCCCTTCATGTATTTTCAGAAAGCAAAAGAACAAACAAGCAAAAAGCCTGAAGTGAAAGCTTAGCCTTTATCACCACTCAGCTACAGGGCTCCCCTCTATCCCGCCTCCCCTGTGAAATTCTTTCCAACAGCCCCACTTCTAACATCCCCACTCCTGACTTAGCAGCTCACTCACTCTCTCGTTTATCTAGCGGTGGGGATGGGCTCTACTAAGCAAAAGGACTCCACTCTGCTGCTGATGTTCAGACTGTTCTCAGGAACAATCGTGCCCCAAGGGCCTCCATCTTCTTCACCTTCCATACTGTATGCTCAGGACCCCCTCAAGCTTAAGGTCTGGAGCATTCAAACGGACCTCCATCAGCCCCAAATGTTCCTAAGGGCCCACTGGGAGACCCACACTTACCGAGTAATTCGCTTGTCTTCTCGTCATATTCTTCAGCCATTTCCTTACCATCTGGGAACAAATAGTGCACCATCCTCTTCCCTACGTAAAAGCAGAGAATACCTTAGCTCAAAGCCTCCCCTGACCTTGCCCCCTGCAGATCAAAGGGTCTACCCTGAAAAGAGCAAGAGCTTGGAGAACCTCTACCAGAGCCTCCCTTGCATTTCTTACCAACTTCTACCCACTATCACTTTAAGACATATCCCACTGGGCGTGGTGGTGCACACCTTTAATCCCAGCACTTGGGAGGCAGAGGCAGGTGGATCTCTGTGAGTTTGAGGCCAGCCTGGTCTCCATAGCAAATCCAGGCCAGCTGTGACTACAGGGAGACCCTGTCTCAAAAAGACCAAAAACTGCCAGGTGTGGTGGCACATGCCTTTAAAATCCCAGCACTCAGGAGACAGAGGCAGGTGGATCTCTGTGAGTTCAAGACCAGCCTGGTCTACATAGTAAGTTCCAGGCCAGCTGGAACTGCAGGGAGACCCTGCCTCAAAAAGACCAAAAAAAAAAAAAGACATGTCCCAGGGCTCCCTTCCTCTCTCTGTTCATGTCTTCGCTCTGCTACTTCTCCTCAACTTCTACACTCTTCTTCACTCCCCAAAATTCACCTCAAATGTCACTTCCACTGGGAAGTCTTCCTTAACTATCTTCCACCACCATTCCAGAAATGTATCACTTGCTCCTCTGTGTCCCCTCAGTGCGTCAGTCCTACCCACAGTGGAGCATTTATCACCTGCCAGACACTGTTAAAAGCATGTAACACATGACATCATGTCTTTCTCCCCAAGGTCCTACAACCAAGCCTGTGTGTTCAAGATGTGAGCTGGGTTTTTTGACAGACACTTCCCTCCAGCTATACCACCGCTTTGCCTTCTACACGGTCCAAGCCATTCCCAGCGCAGAGCCCAGGATGCTCTCATGTGTTTTCTTCCTGACATGCACTTTTCTTATGACTCTACAGCTACGTGTGATTCTTTGGACACTATTTGTCTCTTCTACCGAATAGGAAGTTTTGTCCCATGGTCTTCCTGAGACCAAGCAGAGTACCTAGTATATAAGAAGAACTCAACTACTGAAAGAATGAAAAACTATTGAAAGATCATCCACTGAAGGAATAAAAGACCCCAAAGGAGTCGCCTAGACCAACTCCTCTATCTATGAAGCATAATCACAAGCACTTGCTTAAAGGTATCAATGTAATTTCCTCTCTCTCTTTCAGGCAGATAGTAGGTATCATCAGTAGGCTCTTCACAAAGACTAACAAAAGAGCCCTATGCCCAGTGGACACTACCCTCCATCAACTCCAAGAATAAGAGCCATAAGGTGGCTTTCTCCTCTCTGGTACACAGTTTCCTTAATTCATTCCTAATTTTTAAAAATATTTTATTTATTATTTTTATTTTATGTATGTGTATTGCCTGCATGTAAGTAAGTGCACCCATGTCGTGCAATGCCCACGGAGGACAGAAGAGGCTGTTGGATCCCCTGGAATTGGAATTACAGACAGTTGTTAGCTGCCATGTGGGTGCTGGGATTTGAACCCGGGTCTTCTGCAAAAACAGCCAATGTTCTTAACCGCTGAGCCATCTCTCCAGCCCCAGTCATTCCTAATTTTTATTTCAGGGTAATTCATCCCAAAATTTGCAAGGTCTTTAGGCAGGCCCTAGGTTTTACCACCCTTAATAATCTGGATGGTTCACAGGAAGCTGCTGGAAATACTTGTGAGGTTGAATATTGTTCTAAGAGTTTACTGAACATTTTTCTAGGGAATTACCTATTTATGACCCCTCCATTCCCCAGGAGGCAAATACTAAGGCATATCCATATATTCATATTACATTATTTTTTGGTTTGCAAAAAATCCCAATAACGCTATTTTGTAATACTGCTAACAAAAGAACACAATTCTGACTGATTAAATATTTTTTTAAAGTTTTTTAAAAATTTTTTGTTTATATTTTTATTTTATGTGTATGTGTGTATTGCCTGCATGTAGGTTAAGTGTAACTGTGTTGAGCAATGCCCACGGAGGCCAGAAGATGCTGTCGGATCCCCTGGGACTGGAGTTATGGACAGTTGTTAGCTGCCATGTGGGTGTTGGGATTCGAACCCGGGTCTTCTGCAAGAACAACCAGTGTTCTTAACCTCTGAGCCATTTCTCCAGCCCCATATTTTTTAAGATATTGCCCTATGGGGACTGGGGAGATGGCTCAGTAGGTTAAAGTGCATTTCTACAAGCTTAAGAACCCCAGCACCTACATAAATATCTGGACATGGCTGTGCATGTCTGTAACCCCAAAGTTGGGGTGCAGAGATAGGCAGACCACAAGAACCTGGCTCAGTGAGAGACCCTGTCTAAGACTATTGTGATAGAGGAAGACACCTGACATCCTACTCTGGCCTCTGCATGCACACACATGGGTGTGTGCACCTGCACATTCGTGTGCATGTACCACACACATACATCACACACACAATATTATCCTATGACCAAAAGCAATGAAAGCAGACTCTTTAACATGATTTGTATAATCATGTTCAAAGCAGCATTATTTACAACAGTCAAAAAGTAGAAGAAGCCCAAGTATCCATCAACAGATGAATAAACAAAATGTGGAGCACATATGTGTATACACAGACACAGAGACACACAGGAATATTAGTTTTATAAATGAAGGAGGGTGTTAGGAGGGGGCCAATCAGTAAAGATTCCCAACATCCATATAAAAAGCTGGGGGTGTTGGTAAACTCTTGTAATCCCAGTAATGAGGATGTGGAAACAGGAGAATCCCTGGGGTTCATCGACCAACTAGCCCAGCATAATTGCAAGCCCTAGGTTCCAGTGAGAACCCTTTCTCAAAAACAAGGTGGGGGGGGCACAATTAGAAAATGGTTCAGTGGTTAAGAGCACTTACTGCTTTTCCAGAGGACCTGAGTTCAGTTCCCAGCACTCACCCGGCGGCTAATGTCCATCCTTAACTTCAGTCCCAGGGGATCTAATGCCCTCTTCTGGACTCTGTGGGCACTGTACACTTAAGTACATGCAGGCAAAACAGTGACATACACTTCTTTTTTTAAAAAAAGCCATGGGAGCCAGCCAGGTGTGGTGGAGCACACTTTTAATCCCAGCACTCAGGAGGCAGGGACAGAGGCAAGTTCCAGGCTAGCTGTGGCTATAGGGAAACCCTGTCTCAAAAAGACCAAAAAAAAAAAAAAAAAAAAAAAAAAGATGGGTGCCAGCAAGAAGATTCAGTCAGTAAAGGTGCTTGCCACCAAGCTTGACAACCTGAGTTGGGTCCCCAGAACTAACATGGTGGAGAGAACCCATTCCTGCAAGTTGTTCTTTGATCACAACATGTGTGCCATGGGGAATATGTGTGCGTACATGCACAAATAAATGTATTAATGAAAAAAAAAAACCCAAAAACCCAAGGTGGACAACTTTGAGTTAAGACACTTGAGGTTGACCTCTGGCCTCCACATAAGAACACACAAATGAAAAATAAAGAGGAAGGAAATTCTGACACATGCTACAACATAGATGAACCTTGAAAACCTTTTGCTATGTGAAATAATTCAGCCATAAATAGGGAAATATTGCATGATTCCACTTATATGGGGTTCCTAGAGTAGTCAAATTAATTGAGTCAGAAAGTACAATGGTGGTTGCCAGTGTCTGGGGAGGAAAGAAGAGTGAAGAGTTAGTGTTTGATGGGGTAGAGTGTTGGTGTTGTGAGATGAAAAGAATTCTGGAGATGGATGCTGGTAAGGGTTGCAAAACAATGTGAATGCACTTAATCCTACTGGACTGTACAGTTAGAAACGGTTTAACACGCATACACATAAAATAAAAATAATAAATAATTTTAAAAAATGGTTAAAATGGCCAGGCATGATGGTACATGCCTTTAGTCCCAGCATTGGGAAGGCAGAAGCAGGCAGATTTCTGTGAGAGTGAAGCCAGCCTGGTCTACATAGTGAGTTCCAGGCCAGCAAGGGCTACAGGAAGACCCTGTGTCAAAAAGACAAAAAAAAAAAGACTTAAAAAAAAAAAGGTTGAAATGGCAAATTTTATGTTTTTAAAAACCACAATAAAACAAAAACCATTATCCTATGAGATAATATCCTAAATCTTCTGCACGGCATGAGCTCACAACATGGCCCAGCTTATTTATACCAGCTCACATTTCCCACCATTTCCAATTACTGCTAGGAAGAAACTCTTAAGTCTTGTATCCTGCCAAGGTGGAGGCGGTGCCTGCCTGGGCAAATGTTTGTATACCACTAAACATTTGGTATTTCTCAGTAACCAGATACACTCTCACACTTCCATGCCTTTACATGTGATTCATTCTTCCTCATATGATTAGCCCTTCCTCTCCACTTATCAAAAACCTATTAATTCCCTAGGGGCTGGACATATCTTTTCTGTTTAGTGATTAACCATAGACAATTATTTCCACCTTCAAGCTTTCTTAGCATTTTACACAATATTCCAAACTCGTTTTAAATTATTATTTATTTTAGCTAGGGTCTCACACTGTAGTCCAGTCTGGCCTCAAACTTATGGTAATCCTCCTGCGTCAGCCTCCTGGGTGCTGAGATTACAGACATGGATTCTGACTGGTTAAGATTCTGACCTCTAATTAATTAATTAATTAATTAATTAATTAATTTTCGTCTTTTTGAGACAGGGTCTCCCTGTAGCCCCAGCTGGCCTGGAACTCACTATGTAGACCAGGCTGGCCTTGAGCTCACAAAATTCCACCTGCCTCTGCCTCCCAAATGGGACTAAAGGCATGTGCTACCACGCCCAGCTTTTTTTTTTTTTAATTTTATGCGTATGAGTGTATCACCTGCATGTATGTAAGTGCACCCATGTCATGCAATGCCTGTGGAAGTTAGAAGGCATTGGATCCCCTGGAACTGGAGTTACGGATGATCGTTAGCAGCCATGTGGGTACTGGGAATAGAACCCAGGTTCTCTGCAAGAGCAGTCGGTGCTCTTAACCACTGAACCATCTCTCCAGCCCCTCAGACCTCTATTTAACGCATGTTTTTTTCTTGACCATTCTGTGAACTCCTGGAAGACCATGGTTTTTTCTATCTACCCTAGTACATAACTTGGCACATAGTAAAAGCCTCCCTAAATGCTGCATTTAGTTGAATTTAGTTTCCATAAATGTCAACCTTCCTAACTGGCCTATACCTGTCCCCAGCTCTTAGCTTTAAAGGCTCGGGAATTCAGACCTAATTAATCCTGGCTTCCAAGTGGCTCCAGGAAAGGACTCTGAAGCACAGTGGTGAGGAAAAGATGAGACGCCAAATTCCTGTTTCTAGCTTTCGGACACAGCCTTTGGTTCTGGTTGTATCTCCCCTAAAGATCTGGAGAACATTCAGAGACTCACTTTACAAACAAAACAGTTGGAAAGGACCTCAGAAATAGCAGTAGTAGCTCACCCACTTCATTTTATGGTTGAAGAAAACAAGATCCAAACAACCTTGGGCTGACTGAAGAGGCCATGGTGAATCCATGGCAGTGTTGATCTAAAGCCCAGGCATTCCTCCTTCCTATGACACTGGGCTGCCATCAACAACAGGACCCTGAAACTAAGGTTGTAGGGATCAAGAAAGAGTTATATCCTGACCATAACCTGAAAAACCTAGGGCTGGCCTAAAATCTGCATTTCAGTTTCCTACTCAGTAAAGTGAGGTGGAAAATTAGCTTCTCGGTACAGCCCCTGAGGAGCAAATGAGTGTGAAAAGAATTACTGTGAATTAGCAACAAAATTCTGAGCGGGCAGAAGCCGTGTAAGGAAAACTCAGGGGGTGAACGGAGACGTGGATTGCAGTCCACCCTGTCATCCCCTTGGGCCTCAGTTTCCTCATCTGCAAATGCAGAATGCTGGCCTGGCTGACGTCCAGCTCCGCCCACCCAGGCTGAGGCCCTTCCCGGGGCGCCTGCTCCACGCCGGGCCTGGCGAAAAGGACGAAGGGGCTCGAGTTACCATCCTGCAGCAGCGCCGTCTTCTCCGCCGCCCGCAGACTCTCCAGCCAGCCGGTCACCGCCATCTTTCCTGCGCCCAGCTGCGCGCCTCGCCACTGCCATGGCAACTGCCGGGCCCAGGGTCACTTCCGGATGACCCGGAAAGTGTTCTGGGCATTTACCTTTCCCTCCCGCCCCTTCCATTCTTATTGGCTCCCATGGTGAGTAGTTTATTCCTCTTCGCCGAGGGCGATCCTGGGATGCTGTGGATCCGGCCAGCCCGGATCTGCGGTGCGGAGGGGCTTCTAGGACTTCTAGGGTCCCAACACCCGCTTTCTTCTGGCCCCAGCCACCTGCGCATCGCCACACCTGCTCGGGTCTTGCTCAGCCCAGCTGTGAGGCCGAGATTTCCCCGAACCCAGAGCGCCCCACACCTGCTGCGGCTGCTCCCTATCTCCCCGCAGCTGCCGGGCTCAGCACCCGACGCTGAGGCCCGCGGCCGGGGCAGGTGCAGGGCGTGCCCACTGCTCCCCCTGAAGCCCACCTCCCCTCGTTTTCCTCAGAGTGCATATTGAGGATAAAGATGTGAGAGTTGTGTGCAGGTATCCTTCAGGCTCCACTTCTTTGGGGAGATGAAGGCCTTGCTAAAAGATGTAGCCCCATGTCTTAGTCTTGTTATCTTTTTGGAAAAGCCCCTTGGAAGTGGAAACGGGCAGACAAAGCACAGAATTTCCCAGGAATGTAATTGTTTCCCTTCCCTCAAAAGCCACCTACCCAGGGCCAATCGTCCAAACCTTTGCTTAATAGTCTGAAAGGGTAGTGAGTGTTGAACTTGGGTTATGCTACTGAAGTTTACGTGGGGTTTCCAAGACCTCTGGGAACTGGTCTGCTGCCTGCAAAGCCCATCTGTATAAGCTAGATGGTCTAGGGGGTGGGCCCCCAATTTTGGATTTCTTCATGACATCTGGTTTGACTTAAACAGAAAGGACAGGATCCAGCCATACTTCAATGGACCCCAAGGGCATCTTGAAGGCATTTCCCAAGCGGAAGAAAAACCCTGCCACTTCGTCATCAAAAGCACTTGCAAAGATTCCCAAAAGGGAGAAGGGTGAAGCAGGAGGTGAGCTGACACACCCTCAGAACTCTTATGTACTAGAGCCCTCAGCCTTCCAGAATCAGCTCTCGGAATGGGCCATACCTGTCTAGAGCCTAAAGATCACTTTGTATTAGCCTTGGTCTCTGTCTTTTTTGCTTGTTTTTTTTTTTTTTTTTTTTTTTTTTTAGACACTTTCTTTTACCCGGGGCCGGCCTGCAATTTCCCTTTTAGGTACATCAGGTGGGTGTCATTCTTTTTGTTTTTTTTTTTTTTTTTTTTTTTTTTTTTTTGAGACAGTCTCATATAGCCGAGGCTGGCCTGGAACTTGCCTTATAGCTGAGGATGATCTTGAACTCCTGATCTGCCTGCCTCTACCTCCTAAGTGCTGGGATTACAGGTGTGTACCACCATATCCAGCTGGTTCTCTGTCTTCTTCCCCATCCCAAGACTTTAGTCAGAAAATTTTTCCTGATCCCTCAGGAAATGATCATTAGATGAAATACCACTAAATTTATAGTAGTTGAAATACCACTAAATTCATGTTTGTCATGGGCTGATGGCTCAATTTAATGATATTTCATCTACTATAGGAAATGATCGTTAGAATTCCTTGTTGTCCTGGAGGCTGCCGCAAGGACAGACAGAAGTCCCCCTGGAGTCCTCAGGCTTGTTCTAAGTTATTTTGTTGCCAAATTGATATATAGATAAGTAGAGGTTTTAGGGTATGGGAGTGGTGGTTAAGTCTTCTTGACTGTGCAGTCAGGAAATATGTAATGGCAAGAAAAATAAGTGATAACATGATTCTGAACTGAGTTCAAAGCAAGAAAAAGGCATTCATTTTCTCTGTGACAGACACTTATAGGTGACATATAGTGTGCCAGGCACTGCTCTAGGTTACACCAGGGACAGGACACAAAAAAATCCTAACCCCTTGCATTCAAGATGACTCATGAGCAAATTTGTAGTGTGCTTGTATAGAATCCTGGATGGAAGGGAGGTTGGATGACAGGAAAATGATTCCTTTGGTGGAAGAGGACTTCAAATAGTTCATTTTGACCTTATCTAAAATTTCCCAGGCCAGTGTCCTGCACCTATAATCCCAGAACCTGTGAGGTCAATGTAGAAGGATTAGGAGTTCAAGGCCATCCTCTGCTATATAGTAAGTTTGAGACTAGTCTGGGCTACATGAGACCCTGTCTCAATAATGTTACAGTAATAGGCATTTGGATATCCCCTTCACAGAGTGGCTGAGCTCCCTACAGGCCCACATTGTGCCCACTGGGATTGGACGAGCCCGGGCTGAACTCTTTGAGAAGCAGATTGTCCAGCATGGTGGCCAAATATGCTCTGCTCAGACCCCAGGGATCACTCACATTGTAGTGGATGAAAAAATGGACTGTGAGCGGGCCCTCCACCTCCTCAGACTGCCCCAGCTACCCCCAGGTGCTCAGCTGGTGAAGTCAGCCTGGCTGAGCTTGTGCCTGCAGGAGAAAAGGCTGGTGGACACAGCTGGATTCGGCATCTCTATCCCTAACAGGTGGGCTGGTCCTAGTTTTTCTCAAATATTTATTGGTAACATGTTGCATTTCATCTTCTGGCCTCTGTGGGCACGCTGCCTGCACACTTATGTACATGCAGGAAAAACACTTTTTTTTAAAAAAAAAAGTGGGGGCCAGCCAGGTGTGGTGGTACACGCCTTTAATCCTAGCACTTGGGAGGCAGAGGCAATCAGATCTCTGTGAGTTCAAGGCCAACCTGGTCTACCTAGAAAATTCCAGGCCAGCTGGGGCTACAGAGACCCTATCTCAAAAAGAGCAAAAAAATAAAAACAACTTCTACTTATGGCCAGGCGTGGTGGCACATGCCTTCAGTCCCAGCACTAGGGAGGCAGAGGCAGGCAGATCTCTGTGAGTTCGAGCCAGCCTGGTCTAAATAGTGAGTTCCAGGTCAGCTGGAACTACAGGGAGTCCCTGTCTCAAAAAGACACCCCCCCTCAAAAAAATAGCTCCTACTTTTAAAATTGAACATATTCAGAAACCAAGGTTTCAGTGTGGAGAAAGATTGGGAACACAGATAGAGACTTTTGATGCCTTAACTGCCTTAACTATTACCTCCTCCCAACTCTAGGTTCTTGGAGCAACCACAGCCCAGCAAAGCTGACCAAGACTCTTCTGCTCCTGGCATCCAGGAGGTTCTACCTAGATCAACCCTCTCCCCTCCCTCAAAGGCAGAAGAGGCACCAAGAACCCAGGCCCAGGTCAGGAGCCTCCCAGCCAGGGACTTTGATCACAGAAGTGGAGAGGGCCTGATGGTTCTACAGAAAGTTCAGAGTCTCTCTTGATTATTAAGCCATTTAGCTCTTTCCAACACTTGTTATTCCTGGATTCACCAAGCCACGTCTAGCACATATCACTGGGAATTCCAGGTTAGGCTCTAGAGGAAGCCATCTGGAGCATGGCATTACAGTGAAGAAGGCATGAGTCCAATCACAAGTTGCAGTCTCATCCTTGAGTCAGAGTATGAGATACCCCCCACCCACCCCAATACAACCCTCATTTTTGAGGACTCCCTCCTCATAGAGGACACAAATTTATTATTTCTTCTCTTCCTTATCTTAAGATCAGCTCAGATGATGAAACCAGTGATGGGGAAGGGCCCCACGTTAGCCCAGCTGATCTGGAAGCCTTGATCAGTGGTCGCTACCCCAAACCCCCTGAGGAAGATGGTAGGCCTGATCTAGCTCCAGAAGCCTTGGATAAGTGGGTCTGCGCGCAGCCCTCAAGCCAGAAGGCAACCAACCACAACCTGCACATCACAGAAAAGCTGGAAGTGCTGGCCAAAGCCTACAATGTCCAGGGAGACAAGTGGAGGGCCCTGGGCTATGCCAAGGCCATCAATGCCCTCAAGAGATTCCACAAGCCTGTCAGCTCCTACCAGGTACTTGAGGATGAGGAAGAGGTCTTCTCTTTACTAACTACTGGTTGATGGAGACACTAGTCACCAATAAAGCATCGGATTTAGTGGTTAAGATTTTATAATAGGGCTGGAGAGCTGTTAAGAGCACTGGCTGAGTTCAGTTCCCAACACCTACATAATGGCTAACAACCATCTATAACTGCAGTTCCAGGGGATCCAGATCTCTGTGGGCCTTGCATGAACATGGTACATATAAATATATGCAGGCAAAACACTCATACCTATAAATAAATCTTTTTTTTAATGGTTTTTAAGACAGGGTCTTCTTGTAGCCCCAGCTGGCCTGGAACTCACTATGTAGACCAGGCTGGCCTTGATCTCACAGCGATTCACCTACCTCTGCCTACTGAGTGCTGGGATATATATATATGTGTGTATGTATTTGGTTTTGGAGACCATTAATTATGTGATTCTAAGTGAGTTACTTACTCTTTGAGTGTCAGTTTTCCCATGGATAAAAAGGAATTGATAACAGTAGCCCATTCACAGTATTCTTTTTTTTTTTTTTTTCTGGTCTTTTTGATCACAGTGTTCTTTTTTTTTAAAAAAAAAATACTATTTTTATTTTATGTGTATGCATATATTGCCTGCATGTATGTAAATTCATCCATGTTGTGCAATGCCTGTGGAGGTCAGAAGAAGGCATTGGATCTCCTAGAACTGGAGTTACAGACGGTTGTTAACTGCCATGTGGGTGCTGGGAATCAAACCAGGGTCCTCTGCTCTTAATTGCTGAGTCGTCTCTCCAACCCTCCATTCACAGTATTTTTATTGCTGATCTCTACCCCTCTGGGAACCAAAGGACAAGTTTCCCAGCCCATGTTCAATCCAAGCATCATCTCAACTCTACTTAAGCTCTGTACAGCCACACGGTTGCTGGGATGACTTTTGAGCAGACAGCTACTGATGGAGTCAGCTTCGCTCCATCTGGCCCTCCCTTCCTACCCGTTTACTCTTCTTCCTTCTCTGTGCCACACCTTCCCCTAGGAGGCCTGCAGCATCCCTGGAGTTGGCAAGCGGATGGCTGAGAAGATCGTGGAGATCCTGGAGAGTGGACATCTGCGGAAGCTAGACCACATCAGTGACAGCGTGCCTGTCTTAGAGCTCTTCTCCAACATCTGGGGAGCTGGAACCAAGACTGCTCAGATGTGGTACCATCAGGTCACACCCAGTCTAGCTTCCACTTCAGTACTGCTGTATTACAGAACCTCTACCCTCTTATCCTCCTTCCCTGTTTACCTAAAGTGACCTGGGTACCTGGATTTTCCCACCATGAGAATGAATCCAGACTACAGGGAGACCATTTTTCAAGGATACTAGGATTCATATAGGCCCCTCTCTTAACTCCCAGAACAGCAGTGTGGCTTAGTGTCCTTGAAGTGTGGGTAGGAACAATAAATACATTTCTCTGTTCCCCAGACTGCCTAAGGAGCCCAGGCTTTGGCTCCATGTCTGGATCTGGCTCCCAAACTTGGCCATGACAAGAATCACCTTGGGAACTGGTGACAGTGAAGCCTAGGCCCATTTCAAACCAAGGAGAGAGGGACCAGTGGCCCCAGATTATGGCATGTCTTTCATGCTCCTGCCTTTCCCAAGACCCACAGAGCAGAGGCCAACCTACTCCTGGGCTTGGTCCTGCCTCAAGTCTTCCATGGTGGGCACAGTGACAGAGCCCTCTGTATCTGCTGGTCCATATACCTCGTTAGTCCTGGGTCCTCATAGCCTTCTTCTGGCTGCTTTATTCCAGGGCTTCCGAAGCTTGGAAGATGTCCACAGCCTGGGCTCCCTGACTGCCCAGCAGGCCATTGGCCTGAAACACTACGATGACTTTCTGGACCGCATGCCCAGGGAAGAGGCTGCAGAGATTGAACAGATGGTAAACATGGCTCCTAGAGCAGTGAGATGAGCCAGGCTTGAAGTCAAGAACCCCTGAACCCTCAGATGAGTAGGCCAGCAGGTAGAGAAAGCTAGGGAATCACCAGAAATCGGGACCAGGGCTTAGGCTTAGATGACAGCAGATGGATGGCTTATGGGGTTGAGCACTGTAACATTGGCCCTGTGGGTGAGTGTTCTCAGGGTCAGATAGCATGAACAGTGGTAGCCTAGAGTAAAGGCAGGCATGGTCTCAAGTACTGGGGTATTTGGGAGTTTGAACAGGCCTAGGTTAGGGGGTCAGGGTAGAGTTGGTGATTCACTATCTTTGAGAACTTGATGAAAATATGGACTTTCAGCCTTCAAAATGTACACATGTGCCAAGGAGCTTTAACTCTTTCCATGAAGCCCACCCAAGGCTGGTCAGAATTAGGTTGGGTTTGGGTAAGAGCCCAGGGCCTGCAGGATCTCTGTGAGTTCAAGGCCAGCCTGGTCTACAATAGGGAGTTCCAGGCCAGCTGGGGTGACAGGGAGACCCTGTCTCAAGAAGACCAAAAAAAAAAAGAGAGAACTATCAATACTTAGTTAGGGGTAAACTTGGTTAGGAGTTTTCTCCCAGGGTCTTGTTCTATTGGTGGATGTTAAGATATTCATTGTCAAGGGCTGCATATGTGACTCAGCAGTAGAACACTTGCTTAACATGCCCAAGACCCTGTATTCCACTCCATGGAAAGATTTTTTTTTTTTTTTTTCAAAAAAAAAGATTTGTAGTTGTCCAAGATAAAGATTGCTTAGAACTAGGGACCAAGTTTATAAGTTTCTATACAATATAGAGTCAAGAGGGACCGGTTACAGTAGGATATATGTGGTGTTTGTTCAGCTGGCATAGGGATCAGGCTGGTGTGTGGGCGAAGTTCTTTCACTTTAGCTAAGGATCTTGTTGAGTGATAGTTAATCAGCCTGCAGCTCTACTCCAGGCCATAGGGCCATGGCCGGCACTGGGTAGATGGACAGGTCCTTTTGTATATCCATCATCAAGCTGTGGTACTAATGATGAACTGTCACTCAGCCATGTCACTCAGCCACGGTGTCCAGGCACAGAGAATGCCTTGGTCAGCCACTAGCCCCTAGCCTATTGGAACAGACCAGGCTTCCCACTGCAGCCTGCCCCCAAGTAGGGCTCCAGCTGTAGGGGTTCTGGTAGGATTACTCATCTGGGCAGCCTCTTCCCATTCTCCTGGGAGGCCTAAAAAGGGATTGAGGGGATTAGCAGAACTGTCTGTCAGGAGAATTGAGGTGTTCTGGCTGTGAATATCCAGGGCCCCTGAAAATTCAGTGTCCTGCAGTGGGGCCTGGGTACATCTGCATACAAAAGGCCTCAGTGTCTGATAGAGGCTAATGGGCTTATTTTTCCTCAATGAGGGCTAGTCCCTCAGATCCTTCAGCTGACAGGCCTGTCTTACCCATCCTAGAAGGGATGTGGGCAGCTTGTTTCCTTCCTTTCCCACAGGTACGGTGATATTTGGGGGCTCCATTTTCTCTGGGCCCAGGTTGGAAATTTACTTCTAGCCATCTGCTAAGACCTTAAACCTCAACTCCCATACACTGCTGTCAGCTCCACATACATAGAAAACTGGAATTGCAGGGACCTGGTTAGAGGCTTCTGGTACCTTGCTTCTTGGGGTTGGGACCAGGGCCAAGAGAAAAAGTATATCTCCGCTCTTGTTTTCTGAGACAGGATCTCATTACATAGCCCTAGCTGACCTAGAACTTGCTATATAGACCAGGCTGGTCTAGAACTTTGAGAGATCCACCAGCCTCTGCCTCCCTAGGGCTGGACTTAAAGGTGTGTGCTACCATACCCAGCCTGTGTCTCTCTGCTCTTTCACAGAGCCACCAGGCAGAGGTTGGAGCGTTCATGCAGAGGCAGAGCCAGTTCTGGTTCACGTAAAGCTTTCTTCTGTAGTCAGGACTGCTTCTCTAATCTAGGCAACTAGAGAACAGCAGTGCCCCAGGCTATCCCCTCAGCTTGGCAACAGTCATGGGAATTGGCTTGGGACAGTGTAAAGCTCCCTCCTCTTTTCCAGGTCCGGACATCAGCCCAGGCCTTCAACCCTGGGCTGCTGTGTGTGGCATGTGGCTCTTACCGCCGGGGGAAGATGACCTGCGGGGATGTGGATGTACTTATCACTCACCCAGATGGCCATTCCCACCAGGGCATCTTCAGCCGCCTCCTTGACAGCCTTCGGCAGCAAGGTATCCTCTTGGTCTTTAGGGTGAACAGGTTGGAAGGGAACAGCCACAGGGGTGAGCACCTCCAAATTATAGATCTGGGACAGGCTGTAGGGGAAGAGAAGGTGCCTTGCAAGACTTTGCAAGACTCCCACCTCTCCAGTGACCAAGTCTGTGTGCTCAAAGACACAATGAAACAGGTGCCCAGTAACCCTGCAGGTAGAAGGTCTCATCCTATGACACTGGGGGAGATGAACAGATTACTATCCACATTCCATAGATGAGGAAATGGGCCCAGAGAAGTAGGGTCACTCAGCCCAGAAATGAATGAGCTAGGAATAGAGAATGCAGGCGACCTGGGAGGGTAGACAGACAGGGCCTGGCTCCTTGTCCTGAAGCTGTCCCCCATATTGGGCAAGGGTTCCTCACAGATGACTTGGTGAGTCAGGAGGAGAATGGCCAGCAACAGAAGTACTTGGGTGTGTGCCTGCTCCCAGGGCCAGGGCGGCGGCACCGGAGGCTGGACATCATCATTGTACCTTACAGTGAGTTTGCCTGTGCCCTGCTATACTTCACTGGCTCTGCCCATTTCAACCGGTCCATGCGGGCTCTGGCCAAGACCAAGGGCATGAGCCTGTCGGAACATGCCCTCAGTGCAGCTGTGGTCCGGAACAGACAAGGTGTGAAGGTGGCGCCTGGCCAAGTGCTTCCCACCCCCACAGAGAAGGACGTCTTCAAGCTCTTAGGCCTGCCTTACCGAGAGCCAGCTGAGCGGGACTGGTGATCTATGACTGGAGCCGGGGGAGAGCCATGCTGGTCAGGCTGCCCCTCCTAGACATCCACAACTCCTCAGTTTTACCAAGCTCAGCTGTGCTGCTTCATGTTGTCCTTGGTAAGCTGAGCTGGGCGTTCTGTGCCTGAGGAAAGGAGGCAGCTTGACTCCCAAGGCCTGCACAGCTCTCTCGGGCAGGATCAGGCTGCTGTCCCTTGTATTTCACCACTGCCCTCATCATTTTGCACATGGCCCTTGCCCCATTTAAGTAGGAACAGGTGGCTGGTTTGAAGTCAGTTTCCTGTGCTGAAGGCCCAGGACCTCCTTCTATCCCAAGAAAGATCTAGCTGCTGGGGGTCAGGGAGAGGCTACAGGGGAGAGAGGGAAGCAGCTGTGGGTTCAGCATCATCTTTTACCATGAAGGAGCCATTCTGTAGGGATTCCCTTACCACCCACTTCCTGTGCAGCTGGAACTGCTGAGAAGGACCTGCCCAGACTCTGTGAAGACAGCCTCTAAAAGCCCAGGGGCCCAGTAAAATGCTTTTGACATTCAACCTGCCTGGTGTCTGTGAGCTACTATAGTCCCCACCTGCCTTCCTCCATTCTGGGAGCTGACCATCCAAGTCCAAAGAACCGTACTAGCTGCCTTCCTGACTGGCCTGGCCAAGAGGGTCTGGGCTGGGTAGTAGGAGAGAGAATCATTCAGGCATTAGAGTATGCACCCTTCAGCAGCTCCTTTGAGCCCTATTCAAGATAGGGCTATTGTGGAACTGCTTGTAGGCAACAACTAGGAAAATGGTCTCTGTACCACGATCATGGATGGATGGGGTGATCAAGGGAGGTTGCCTGGAGGAGAGGAGGAGTCAGAGTGGCAAGGAAATAGCCTATTTGAGAGGGGTCAACATGCTCTGTTTGGGGAGAGTTAAAAATCTGCTTTAGAGCTGGGTGTGGTGGCACACGCCTTTAATCCCAGCACTCTGAGGCAGAGCAGGAGGATCTCTGTGAGATCCAGGCCAGCCTGGTCTACATAGTGAGCTCCAGACTAGCCTGGGTTACAGGGAGACCCTGTCTCAAAAAGTCAAAAAAAAAAAAAAATCCACTTTAGAGAGGATGCTGGGATTTGGGAGAAGAACAGGTCTTAGAGAACTGAAAATCTGTTTACAGGCCCTGGCATACCTTTAGTTCCAGCACTTGGGAGGCAGAGGCAGGTGGATCTCTGAATTTGAGACCAACTTGATCTACAATAGGGAGTTCCAGGCTACATGGTGAGGCCCTGTCTCAAAAGAAAAAATCTGGCTACATGGTTTAAGAGTTTGATTGATTACAGATGGGAACGAGTCTGCAGTTGTGTAGCAAGGTTTATTTTATTTTATGTGTATGCATGTATTGCCTGCATGTGGGTACGTGCACCTGTGTTGTGCAATGCCCGCAGAGGACAGAAGAGACTGTCAGATCCCCTAGAACTAGAGTTATGGACAATTGTTAGCTGCCGTGTGGGTGCTGGGATTTGAACCTGGGTCTTCTGCAAGAACAGTCAGTGTTCTTAACCGCTGAGCCATTTCTCCAGCCCCACAGCAAGGTTTCTTAGGCTGGGCATTGCAGGACAAGAAGGATTAGTAGGGGCAGTAGTCTGGAAGAGTGATGGGCCCAAAGGCAGAAGGCTGTCCTGGAGGAGCTTGGAGAGCCCCCAAGACCCCATGGGAGAGTCAGAGTAGCGTATGAGGGAAGCTTGGGTACAGAGGTGGGTTCCAGCCTCAGTGTGCCAAGTTTGAACTGTGTGTGTATATGTGTGAAATCCCAGAGCTGGCCTTTGAGTCCTTGGTCTCAGTCCTGGGCTCCACCTGGGCACGGAGGCAAAATACCTAATTCCAGATACTTGGAAGGCTGAGGCAGGAAGACTGAGTTCAAGGCCAGCCTGGGCTATGCAGTAAGTTCAAGGCATCTCAAAGAGCAACAAAGTAGTCCTGGACCCTAGTAGCCTGAGAGCAGGCCTTCAACTCAAGCCCAGACCCCTAACACCCAAGCCAGGAGACTGAGCCTGCATGGGTCAAACTGGGAAAAGAGGTGGAGCCTACTGCATAGCCTCCACGAAATTGAGATGGCCACATCCAGTGACCTAGAGCCCTTCTGAAGGGCCAGCTTCTTTGTAGACCTCCTGTTTCTCCAGAGGCCATTGGGTGGTTCTCTGGGAGCAGGCAGACCACTGAGAGAATAGAGGTGACTACTTTTTGTGAATACAGGGTTCTAACTCCATTCTTCACCCTCCCATCTGCCTTAACTCCTTTGCCCCAGTAGACTTGGAATTTGGGGTGTGCCCTCAAACCATACTCCTGTCCTACCTCCTGACAAGGGCCACAAGGAAATCCTGTGCTGGAGAGAGTACTCACACCCTTCATGAAGGGTAGTATCCTCACTGTGCAGTGTGGTGTGAGGCAGGAGGGCCCCTGAAGTTGAGTACAGTGTTTTGAGGTGGGCTGTCTAGTGTAGCAGAGATGTGACCCTGGAGTCCTCGTCAGCAAGGAGTATGATGTTAGGGCTGTCCAGCCACTTGAGAGCCCACATCTGGTTCCTAGCAACCTAGCCTTCATCTTGCCAGAAAGAGGGACTGAATTTCAGAGATGGAGGAACTGAGGTCCTATCCAGTAACTGAGCACCCCTCATACCTCTCCAAGCTACCACCTGATCCCAAGGAAAAAGAAAAGGACCCAACAAGTCTGCTTCCAGTTCCAGCTCACTCCCTCTGTCCTTGAGCAGGTCTGTCCCTGGTCAGACCACATGTGTGGTAGGCAGGATAATGGCCACATGTCCATGCCCCAATCCCTGTATATATGTTTCCTTTTTTTTTTTTTTCTTTTTGGTCTTTTTGAGGCAGGGTCTCCCTGTAGTGTAGCCCCAGCTGTCCTGGAACTCACTATGTAGACCAGGCTGGCCTTGAACTCACAGAGATCCTCCTGCCTCTGCCTCCCGAGTGCTGGGACTAAAAGCGTGCGCCACCACGCCCAGCATATGTTTCTTTTTTTAAAAAAATATTACGTTTATTTTATGTGTATGAGTGTATTGCCTGCATGTATGTGAGTGCACCCATGTCGTGCAAAGAAAGCCACTGAGGTCAGAAGAGGGCTTTGGATTCCCCTGGAACTGGAGTTAAGGACAGTTTGTGGCCACCATTTGGGTGCTGGGAATCGAACCTGGGTCCTCTGCAAGAGCAGTCAGTGCTCTTAACCACTGAGCCATCTCTCCTGGCCCAATTATTGATTTTTTTAAAAAGTCAAAGCCAGGTGTGGTGGTGCAGGCCTTTAGTCCCAGCACTTGGGAGGCAGAGGCAGGTAGATCTCTGAGTTCAAGGCCAGTCTGGTCTACATAGTGAGTTCCAGGCCAGCTGGGGCTACAGGGAGACCCTGTCTCAAAAACTAAAAAGAAAATCAAATTTAAAAAACAGGTGTGATTAAGGCTAAGAGGCTTGAGATGAAACAATTCCCTTAGCAGGTGGCCCAGGGTAAGACAAAGCCCTTAGAAGGGGAGACGTGTCAGCTTCCCTGGCTATAGCCAGAGAGATACAGTGTGCCTGGCATCCATAGTAGAGCACAGGGGCTACCAGCACAGAGTGTTGGCAGCCTAGAGAACTTTCCATATTTTACTCCAGAGCCTCCAGAAGGGATGCAGCCCTGCCAACATTTGGCTTCTATCCCAAGGAAGCCTCTGTCAGGCTTTGAATCATGAGATGACAACTTAGTGTTTTTCTAAAATTTTTTATTATTTTTATTTTATGTTTATGAGTGTAATGCCTGCATGTAGGTAGGTACACCCATGTTGTACAAAATCTGCAGAGGTCAGAAGAGGGTGTCAGATCCCATGGAACTAGAGTTACAGATGGTTGTTAGCTACTGTCCTGGTTTGTTTCTTCATTGCTGTGACAAAACACTCTGACCACTACCAACTTGGGGAGGAAAGTGTTTATTCAGCTTACATCTCCCAGGTCGCAGTTCATCAGGGAGCCCAAGGTAGGAACTCAGGGCAGGAACCTGGAAGCAGGATCTGGAGCACAGGCCATAGAAGAATGCTGCTTACTGGCTTACTCCCCTGGCCCCTGCTCAGCCTGTTTTCTTATGCAACACAGGCCCACCTGCCCAGG